GCCAGCCCGAAAAACTCTGAAAACTGTACCACTATCATAAATGTATAGATTGGCAGCGTTTTTAGAAGACAATTTCTGACTTTGGGACCTCAATTAAGCAACCCAGCTGCAAATTTCCTTTATCAGAAAAAAAATCTTTTTTCCAAGAATTATAGCTGCATTAGAATTTAACTCAGACTGCGTCACAACAGGCCAAAGAGAACATTCAAAAAAATATTTTAAAGCGCCTTCATAACAATAAAAACATTTTCAACAAAAAAAAGTGTAGCCATGACCAGACAAGTTACTCAGAAGAGTTCTTTTTTTTGCAACGAAAAAAAGTTACGGATCGAAGGAAAGGAAATTAGAATATGCACCATTTCACAATGATTTTTATTGCGAAAGCGCACGAAAAACGAGTATCTCATGATATTTTTGCAAAAGAAAAAAAAAATTGTCCTACAACTTCTATGAAAAATGCATCGGACGCGAAGCGAGTCACAGTACCATTGGGGATTCTCATCCAAAATCTCGGCAAGATGCTGGGATGGCCTAAAAGATAAAGAAGTACCTCGATGGCAGAAGATTTGCTTTCCATGGCTGATTTGAGACGAGCTGCTGAGTGATGGCAACCGTAAGGATTTTGCACGAAACGTTTACGACGTCTCGAATCATCCTCCCATACATCCAGTTTCCAGAAAATGTCACTGAAAAGAGTCAAAGATAACAGACGAATACTAAAAAGGTTACGGCACAATGAACTCACAAACGCCTCAAAAGAAAAGTTATAGTAATCTCGCGCAGTAAGACTTTTTCTACGAGATATGGTGAGATTTTTAGTAAAACAAACTAGTGTTTGCTAGGATCAGCCCATGCGCCGCCAGGATTTGTCAGCAGAGTTGTCAGTTTTTCCATAAGCCGCGCCGACACGAGTAAATCTCGTCGTCGATTTGCCGTTATTAAATGTTCGTTTACTTGTTCTTCTTTTCGGCGTCGATGCATCTGTTCAGCAGCATCACTCTGCAAAAAAACACTCTTTTTAGCAAAAGACTTGTTAATTTTTTGAAAAGACATGCAGATTCTTTAGGATATTGTAAGTAGACCGTCCTTCAATGATATCCGTCTGATATTTCAGAACATTCACGGCCAACAACGTTAAGAAACGACAAGGAATTAAATCTCCGTAGCATGGCTTATGCAAATGGCAACAGAAATTCTGCATGACCGAGTAGGTATGCGTTAGAATTAGGCCTACCAGTGATACTCATGTTCTCCAATACGCGAACGCGCGAGAAGCTTGCAAGCACAGGAATTAACTCCAGTGATCGTAGAAATGCAAGAAAACATTCCCCAAAATCGGTAGCGCTATCGCGTTAAGTTCTTACTATCACTCAGACAACGCTGGCTTTGTTCCAGGACACCCATCTGCATTTTATACCCACTCTCTGCATAGATACGAGCAATATCTCGTAGCAGGTCGTCCGAAGACTGGAACGGAAACAACACTCATTGAAAATAAGCCTAAAACCAGTAAATCCACCTCAAACTGAGCATGTTTTGTGACGTCCTCAGCACGCAGACGATTCAGTATGAAGTCGGCTTCATTGGCAACACGTAGAATGTGGTCTCGCGTGGCATGCGCCATCAGCCGACCTGATAAATGAACGATACAGGAAATATCTTGGAACTGTAATGCACTACGACAAACAGCTATTAGATGATCATATGATAAGCTGTACCTTCATTAACGAGTTCGATGAAAGCAAGGCCAGCATGCTTCTGCAACGATGTCTGCCACTCTTGCGAGCACAGTAGCATGACCAACTCGATCACCGAGCCAGCCTGGTTCTTCATCGTTTCCATTACTAAAGAATTTGTATTCTACCATTACGCATTCAGAAAAATACGTTTCGATAAAATAGCCATAAACAAAATAACTCCATCCACCTGCACAGCAGATTCAAAAATGTACGTAAAAAAAAATAAATTTATTTGGGTCGAAAGCTTCGCTGACGTAACCACCAAAAAAATTGGAGACGCGTGAAAGTTAGCCTGCACCAAAATTTAATTTTAAAGAACAAATTTTCTGAAGAAAAGCAAAATATAACCCGTTAAAGAAAAAGTATTTCACAATCTATAAGAGGCACTTGAATGTGGCCCCAGAAATAGTACAATGGCAACAAACCACTGTTCCCTCCTAAAGCTGCTTAGAAAAGAGCTAAACACAATTTCCAGTTCCGGTTATCGTTCAAATGAATCAACGAAAACTAAAGAATATGGTCTTTCCGCAAGTGAATTTAAAACAAAACCATCTTAGTTAAAATGTGTTATAGGCAAAAAAAGTGGGCCGATAAAGAGCTAAGATGTGTTGTAGGCAGTAAGTAAATATAGTCGCAAAAAAAGTAAAGAAGCGATATACATTTGGGAAGCAAGTCGCAAAACAGCTCTACTATTTCATGCAAAGAATGTCAAAATTTTGCAAGAATATGAAACTATTTATATTGTTTTTATATTCATTATGAAAAAAATGGCTTTCAATAGTTAAATTATTTTGGCCTTTGTAGAAAGAACTAAAGTGCGCCAAATTTTTCACACGTTCTATTTAGTATCTTGAAAATATTGGATGTCTTTTTGTTGGAATCTCAACCAGAACAACTGACATATCTTAGGATGCAAAATTTTTTTTTCTTTTGGGATTTGCCAATAGATGTGCTGCTTTAACCAGTTTCATTTCATATTTTAGTTCTCTAGTTATGCAGCCGTCAACATTTGCAGTTGGACTGACCAGTGCTGTATCGCCTTGAGGCCAGTCTACTGGGATTTCTACGCACAGAATAGCAGTATAGTATTTAAATTCCCAGCCCCAACATATAGCAAATACTGCATTTTTCAGGAACTCCCTACAAACCATTTCCAAAAAAAGTGTTATCTCTTTTTCAAAACCAACTAGCAAAATAGCGAAAAGGAGTAGAATCATTTCTGACACCAGGTGAGTCTACAGTGTTCAAAAACAAGCGCTTATTTCAAAAATAATGCCTGTAAGAGGAAGTCACCTTTGGCATCATTCATGATTTCTTGTCCATGCGTCCCCAGTAGAGTCTTTTGTAGAAAGGAGCGGAAATCAGTAAGTATTTCACGCAACAAAGGCGCCGTTGTTTCTAGCGCCTTCTGTAGTTTATTCGTCAAATAAGTACGTCGTTCGTCTGTTTCCAGCAAACGATTTGGAAGGCTACTGTCCTAAAACAGACAAAATCAAGTTTCATCTCATATGGTTACAGATAAAACGATCTTAAAAATGCTTC